TTAAAGAGTGAGTGAAAAAGAACTCCGATAGAAAAAACGCTCCTAGTGAGAATTAGATCGGTCACCGTTAGTGATAACAATTAGATGGGAAAGTTGACACATAGGTGTCAAGAATGCGCCGTTATTGTCAACAAAAGTATAAAAATATTAGACTTGGAATAGTAGAAATTAAATTAAAATAAATAAATAATAAGAAATAAATGAATGAGTAAATAAATAAATACATTATAAGTATTTATGAATTAAAAAAAAAAAATTATACGCGAGAATCGAACCCGAGAACTCAGGCTTATGAATCTGACTTGTTACCACTCTGCCACAAGACGCTTGAATAGAAATACGTATAATTTATATATAAAGTGCTAAAAAACTTTAAGTTCGATTTTCTCGATTATATTTGAGTATTGCACTTTAGTATTTTACAGGTAGTACACTCACATGGTGTACTACCTCTACAACAAAGATCATCAAAATCCGTTACCCCAAAGCCGTAGGCTCTCCTTGTCAGGAGTCTTTTAGCTTTGAAATAAAAAGTTTCTACGCTCTATCTTTATTAGAACTCTATTTATCGAATCTTTTATTCCGAGGTCACGTAATGACGTCAGAATTTCCGGGTCTCTTTCGGTAACCAGTCCGCCCCTGGTCGGAGTCGGTAGATTTTTACGCGACTCCACGGCCCTGGTGAAAAGTATGGCGAAACGTACGGTACATTTTAAGTCGGTACGACGATACGACCACCAAGTGTCTACGGTTTGCCTTTAATTAATGCGCTTGAATTTCTCGTGCCGAAAAGGTAGGTTCCGAAGAACTCTTTGCCGAAATCTTCGGCTGGGAGTGATTTGTAGGCTTTGGCGCGGTCGAGTTAAAAATTGGGTTATTAAACGAGGCGTGGCCGTATTCCGTCTTCGGCCACGAACTACGATTCTCTAAGAACGAGTCGGTCGTCGTAGTAAGATCGACTCCGCTATTAATAATGGATACGAATACAACTTCTTAAAGATTAAGTTTAGGTGATTTATGTATAAGTAAATTAATTTAATTTCTACGGTCAAACCAAAAATTATATCGGTCTATTTTCTAATTTTTATTAATATTCATCTACGGAAAACAAAAATAAATTTATACTATATAAAAACATTTTTATATTTTGCATTTCTATATACGTAAATATGCATATTTTGAATTAACTCGAAAGCTCGGCGTGTTACTCGTCTCTACGCGCATTAAAAAAGCTTTAAAATTAACAATAAGAAATAAATTTTATAATTAAGGAAAACGATTTTATTTAACAGACGCCACACACTACTCGTAACTCAAAACGCAGCGAAGAGTATGTGTAAATTTTCATCTTTACTTTTATTTCATAAATACAGAAGAATGGTGAAAAGAAATTACTTATTAAAACCTAACTTTTAAAGTAAATTATTGGTCTCGGTAGGCTTTTGGACAAAAACATTTATACGTGGCAAGAATTTTTCGATATTAAATCTTGTACGATCCCGACAATTTTTTACAATGCCACAAAATTAACTTATCTCGGCCAAAACATTACATATTCTATAAGTAAAAAATATCTAGCAAACGAATTGTATAACTTTCCCGGCTGATACGAGATACTATTAAAAAATACTATTAATCGTAATAAATAGTTTGTGACACTAGGATTTCTCAAACGATATCTCGGTTGTTCTTTAACACGGAAAATCCCGAAAATTTCTTTAAAATTCACTTTTTTCTTACTTTGTGTTAAGATCGAGGAAATTTTGCAAATAGAAAGTATAATTAACTCACAAACTGTCGGATTACATTTGTATTTATTAATTTTAAATCTACTTATTAGTTTTTTAAATTTTTCTCGTTACGGCGCGTCAGAAATGGTCGATAATCGGTACGTAGCCAATTTGTGGCGGGACTCCGAAAATTCTTTACTCGTCGAAACCCGTAATATCTGGAATAATTGTATTTACGCCTTCTTAATTTTTAGCCACGCCCGGTAGCTTCGATAACCGCGTAACGCCGGGTCGCGCAAATTGGCCCGGGATACGAACGAGTACGAAGTCCGCGAATACGAAGTTTTTCTTCGTAAACCCGATTATTAAAGACGAACGAACCGCCGAATTATCGGGCCGTAAGTTCGNTAAAAAAAATTAAGAGGAAAAGGGGTGCATGGGTAAAAAAAAAGTTGAAAGCCCCTGATCTAAATTAAGTTCAATTGTTAAATTTCGTTTTTCTATAATAAATTTTTCTTTTATTGGTAAATTAGTTTACTTAACTCGGCATTCATCCTCCCGAGAGGCTCATTCCCGGACTTCGGAGTGACTCCTACCTTTTGTTTTTTTTCTTGTCTAAATCGGAGGTGTGTCCCAAGGTGGTAGAAGGTAAGGTTGCCCGATAGAGAAGAAACGCTTCTCATCGGTTGCTTATTTGACGTCACTCGTGTTCCAAAACAAACATCTTACTACCGATGTTTATGGTAAAACATTACCGATCAGAAGTTTGTAGTTTTAATTACACGCTGATACTTCATTAATTACGATTTATATTTTACTAGCTTTTGCCCGCGGCTTCGCTCGCCTTAAGAAGTATTATTATTAATTAGGTATAGTTTTTGCGGCTTTACTTTTGTTTAGCGTGTGTAAAAAATTAGGGCCTACAAAACTTCTTTGTACAACTATGTACAAAGGGTACAATATAATCCCCGCAAAAACTATACCTAATTAACCCCCGTCAAATATAATCCGCTAGAAATATTTAGGTATAGTATGTACTATTAGATACGGCGGCCACTCATCATCGGGTATATGTAACTCAGTGAAAACAACGATAGCGCGTTTTAAAATACTACTAACGCCATCTATTGTCAACATTTAGAACTAAAAATTATTTTATTCGTTCCATTAAGTACTGATAGGTTCAAACTAATACATTTACATCCTCCATGGGGGTTGAATTTATCAAAATCCTATTTAAGCGGACGTCTTCATCATAGTAGCTCCAATCTTTAATTTCAGTTCAATCAGTCGAAAATCGATTTATACAAACTTTCATCCCCTATTTTATCCCCTTAGGGGTGGAATTTATCAAAATCCTTTCTTAGGGGATGCCTACGTCATAGTAGCTTTATGCATGCAAAGTCTCAGCCCGATCGGTTTAAAATTGACAAAGTTTCATACAAACTTTCATCCCCTATTTTATCCCCTTGGGGGTAGAATTGATCAAAATCCTTTCT